TGGAAATTTTTATGCAAATTTTTTATATAAAAAAATTTTGTTGGTATTATGAATTGAATGCAATCAGATCGTGAGCGAAAGATGACAATGACGATATCTTTACTATGACGGTATCTATGATAAACTGATATTCAGAGTGATTACGATGATTACACAAATACCATAAAAGTTTCCGACCGTTCTAAGTAACACTGCTGATGGTAGTGGCTCTTACTTGTAGACGTGATTGGCAGATCGCTAGTGGGAAGCTAACAAGGTATTGTTTCTATAATCAAGCGAGATGCTTTACGAGCGACTCGTACGACTCACTTTTCTGTTTTAATTAAGATAAAGGTACACGAATAACAGGCTGAATACCAAATTCTGCATGATACGTAACATTGATCCCTACTGCAATCAATAATTTTGTATACATTTAAAATTGACAAATGCTTATTAACCATATACGTATCAAACATCGAATAATGCGCGTTATATAAACAACTATAAGATATAAACAATTTTAGATAAATTTTGTTGAGTAAATTAATAGATGAAATGTTAATAAATAAAGAGGTCAAGTGAACTTTATATATGACATGTTTGTGTCGACGTTTGGTACTTACAAAATTAATGTTAAAACATGAAAAATTAGATATGAATAAAAATACTACGTATATGAAAATTATTGATGCAACCTTTCGTTTAATTAATAGCGCAAAAATATTCAGCTTTTACATTGACACGTAAAATGTAGCTGCCTTTCGGCTAACGTGTATATGTCTCATGCATTTTGTTTCAGGCTGCAAGCTCTAAAGCTATAAGTACGCGGAATCGATCGATGTACATACTCGTGTTCGTGAGAACAATGCAAAAAAAATTGCACGTTCGCAGGTATGACACTGGCCGATGGCAGGGTCGCAGCACGAATAACGATAGTACGTGCGATATTGCAGAGAAATTGTACGATAATTATACGAGTGCGACTGTGAATAATTAAGCGTATGGTAGCACTTACGATGCGTTTGTGCTCGCCTTGAATAACGTTGGTACACACAGCATATTTCATGAGATTTCGTGAAACAGCGAACGTGAATATTTGTACAGTGTTATCTACATGTAGATGTTAGTATATTACGTAGAAAAATCTCAAATAGATACACACACACACACACACACACACACACACACACACACACA